CCAGTTATTCTAAATTTTGGAATAAACTTGAGAGATGAAATGGCAAAGAAAGGCTGGGGAAAATTTTGTTGCATTCAGCATCGGAATCGTCTTCGTTGTTGGGTGTGGGAGAAAGCAGTTGGTCGTCTTGAGAAAATTCCTGTGGAGTCAAACTTGGGCGTGGTTCGGTAGGCGGAGGGCGATGGTAGATAGAATGTCGAACAGGTTACTCTTCTGTCTGGTTAATGTGATGTTACCATATGCTCTTCGGGTTGTTTGTCGGCCTGGATTCTCCCCTTTTTTCGTGCAATGTGTGTCTGGGCTTCCTGGTTGATTAGCAGTGGATTTTCTGTTGATGTGTGTGTGTATATCCAGCTTGGTGGTTTGCGGTGTTTGGGTCTGTTTTCCTTCCTGGTCAATGTGGTTTGTATAGACTTGTCTTCGTTAGTATGTGGTCAGCGGTTGTTTTAGAAGGTGTTGCTGTTTTCATGAAATGAGTTGGTGCTCCCGTAGTTCTGAATCGGATCCAGTGGACGGAATGGAAATTGTAATTCTTGGTTGTCTCTAATGTTGATAACATTTCTTTTGGAGTAATGAAATACACACTGATTAAAAACTCGGCACTGAACACCCCTTCAGCGTATATAAGACAGTCCTTAACTTTTATTAATTTGCCGTTCCCAAACATGGCGGACAACTCTCGTAGTTAGATATGACTGTATACGTTATTCAATGATATGCAATACTAATAACGACGCAGATACCAAGTATGCAAAGCATACCTGAGAATAAACGTTTCTAAATTTTGCTTGTTATTCGGCGCTTGAGAAACATTCTTACAGTCAAATATGGCGATGTGAATAGCCTAATAAATTACCAACGATATATTTTTAAGTTGAAATTAACCAGTTGTTTTATCCCTTTCTTCTTATACAACACCCACCCAACTATTTTACTTAATTTTTTGCATAACCTATTTCCTTGTCTACGCCTCAAAATATACAATCAGAAACTGTGTAATCGGTAGACATCACTTCACGTGAGGTCAAAGCACCACTAAGCTGTATATTTGTCGTTGTCATGGTTAATTGCCTATACGATCATCTGATTAGTAACTTCCATTCCTTGACATGATGGTTGCCAATACTGTTGATGTTTGTGAAATGAAGTAATATTTAAAATTACGATGGGTTACTAAGTGTATGTGTCGTTACTTTCATAAATGCCAATTGCGAGATAGGATTAGGTGTGGCATCAGTCCTCAAGATGAGAAGAACTTGACAATAAAGTATCAATTTTACGTTTTTACAGTGTGTGCTGTAAACTTATAATAGAATCTAATGTCAGGCCACGAATTATTGTATTTTCACTTAAGAAAAATCCAGAAAATACCCAGACGTCTGTAAGAATATGAATCTCCAACAGATTCTATCTCAAGTGGGGAATTTCTTTGAACGTTCGTTTAGTCACGTTGTTACTTAAACTTATCTATCTCTAACAAATAATACTATTTCACTAAACACTTCCATTGACTTTATACTTGTTAGTATTATTCACACACGAAATATTTCTTGGAAACGACATTCAGTTTTTAAATACTTATTTATGGTTCGTTATTAGTTCATCCTAATTTTAAATTCTGCAGTCAATCAGGACAACTTATCTAAGTTCTTCATATCTCGTTAAGAGTTGTTTAAGAGAGACTCTGGTATTTCATGAGTACGAAGAGCGATTTTTGTTCATCAGCGTATAATTACATTATAAATGTCGTTTCTCCTAATTAGTTAGTTGAAGACTTTTTCCAAGAAATACTTCTTGGATTCTTCAGAATAACATGCACGTGTGTTTATTGGGCCAATTGCCAGTTAAGAGCCGGTTTCATAACCATGAAAAACGTTTTGAAGTTCCAACGCATCAAACGTCTACTAAACCAGTAACTTCATGTAATTTTGTCTAGTTAAAAAACAAGATCTTGGAGATTTCATGGGCAATCCCACTCTTCTGGCTAGTACATGTACACCAGTATGTACACTATTCTGGCTAGTACATGTACACTATTCTGTACATACACAGGACAATCTAACAAACTTCTCTTCATTTTATTTATCAATGAAGATCGTTTTTTACTTCGAATAAATACTTGATTTAGAAGCGCTAAATGTCACCCATCTGGAGGCTAGGGCGCTCAACTCGCAACCTGCGGGTCAAAGGTTCGAATCCCCGTCACCGAATATGGTGGCCCTTTCAGTCGTGAGAGTGTTATAAGGTTACAGCCAATCCCATTATTAGTTGGAAAAACAGTAGCCCAAAAGTTGGCGGTCTATGGTGTAGACTAGCTGCCTTCCCTCTAGTATATCACTACTAAATCAAGGAGAGATAGTCCTTGAGAAACTTTGCGCAAAGCTCCAAACAAACGTATAATATGGAATATATCGCACTTCACCTATCAAACAAAAAAATATAATATTTGTCAGAATGGCTGCTGCTTGGTTGAACACTAAACGTTCGCATTAATAAATGCAAGTTAGTTTTTCTGAAACAGTGACGTTTGTTAAATTGCTTTAGATAAAACAAATTAGTTCTTCCTGCAAAAGTGAAAACTCATACTTGAAATCATACAGTGATGTGTCGTTTGTTAAACTGCTTTAGATAAAAACGAGTTTTTTTGCAAAAGTAGAAACTCATACTTGAAGTCACAGAGCAGTGTGTCCGTTGGATATACAAGACTGTTTAAGTTATCATTTCGTTTATTTTGTGACTCAGTATTTGATGATTGTTTGGTTTTCATGACAGGAATGTTGAAGACTGATTGCTTTAAAAGTGTTGGTTGTGACAAGTTTCGGTACGAAACTCTGTACGCGTCATACGTTATTTGTAATTACATTGTTGTCTAGGCTTTATTAATGTTGTTGACGTCACGTTATCGAGCCTTCGGTATGTTTCTCGTCAAGTGAGTATTGTTACGTTATAACGTCGTTCGTCTAGTTTATAGAAAGTTGGAGGTCCCAGTGAACAAGACATATATATAGATATATATATATATATATAGGTGCCTAGCGAGTGCAAGTGAGAAGTAAAGTGAAGATAGAATAAAATAAATGAAGTTGAGTCAGAAAAAAAAAAAAAGTTAGAAAACGTGAAATTAGACCTGCGTGTGAGTGATTAACCGGTGATAACTAAAAGTGAGTTTCACAGTT